GAAATTGTAGGAAATTCCGTCACAGCAAATAGATGTTAATAACTGCTAGCCAACCTGAGGTTAATTTTCCAAATTCACATTTTACATTGCTTACACATTATACTAAAAGTATAAAATAGTTCAGAAAAATAATAGCTGCAAAATTCGCAGAAACTACCAGTTCTAAGCGGCATGCCAAAAGCTTGGTTGCCAAAATGTCATTCCGTCACGCAAATAAAAAGTTCGTAAAATTAAAAGTAAAAAAGATAGAAAATCCTGTTTTTTTAGTTTATGAAGCGAATTATGCCACTAATAATGATATGCATGAGAAAAAATTTTTTTATTTGAAATTAGATACATAGAAACTTCAATTAATTGTTATTTTGCAAGTCAAAATGTCATTCCGTCACATATGGAATTGCCCATTATCGAAAATAGCATAATTGAATAAAAGATGCAAGCATGAAATAGAAAAATTATCTAAAGGAAAAAAAATCATGAGAATCATCAAAGTTAAGAGAATACAGTAAAATGCCAAGGAAAATCACGAAAAGAAAGTTACATAATAATAGAAAAAGACCAATATTTAAATCAAGTTGAGAAAGACTTGGAAAAAAAAAAACCTGGAAAAATAAATGTGGGTAGGGAGGGACGTGAAACTCTATCTTAGAGAAAGCCAAAGCTCACGAAAGACTGTAAAGCTGGGAAAGAAGGTAAGAATCTTTTACTAATCAATTTTCATTTTTAATATTCTCTTATAAATAAAAAGTAATCGCTTTTAAAATTTTGTTTATTCGCTAAATAACTAATCAATCGAAAGAAATGAAATTCTTAAAATTCAAAATCTAAAACGCAAGAAGTAGGTCGAAAATACTTAAGTAGGTAAAGTTTAATCTTGTTTCTTTTTCAAACGCAATATTCTCCATCATTTATTCCATAACATTTTTTGAATGAGATATGGTTACGAAAATATCGATTTAATGAAAAAATATAGATAACACTGGGGAGCAAATTTTTTATTGCATTTGAACAAATACTTGATCCTGCTTTATACGAGTGTGGGGATTTTAAATTAGTTTTGCTCCTAAAGCTAGAGAAGGAAATTTTTAGTCTATTATTTGTCGACATGTGTAAGTTTAAAAATGCTACAGATAACAGAGATCGCATAAATGTTGCGATAAACTTCTTGAGCAGTTAGGGCTTAATATCAGGATAAAATTTGCATAGGAACCTATGTCCATAAATGTATCCGTATGCGATTAGGGAAACTTCCCTATTATGACCTGTTCAGAAGCACGCGAAAAAATCGTTCATGATAGAAAAGCGCCCTTAGCGGCGTATGATGACATTTCCGGAAATGGGTTCCTATGCAGTTTAAATCCTTTTGATGCGCCCTAACTCCGATAGAAAATAGTCACAACATTTATACGACCCCCTATTATACATCTATATATGTATAACTCTTTAAAACTTGCGCATTTTGACAATAAATATAATAAAAATGTACACTTAAAAAAACTGTAGCTTGGAGAAAAAAAACCATCAATTTCATATTTGGAATCAGCAGTTCGAAAAATGTTAAAAATTCTCATGTAAATATAAATATTCCAAATTGTAAATTTCATAGGAACATATGTGTAGTTTCAATTTTTTCAAAAAAACTTTTTGAAAAAAATCATCAAGGATAAATCAAACTATCGCTTTCCTACAGTTCCATAATTGCTTTAATGCGTATAATAGATAGTTTTGTAAGTAAATAAATGAAAGGTTTAATATATATACAATGGGATAGTTTTGAAAATAATCAAATAGATGGTAAATTTCTTTTCAAACTTTTAGAATCTTTAAAGTCATAGATTTAAAACTAACACATTTAGTGGGTGGTATATTTTTAGCTGTATACCAGTTATTTTGAAACTGAATCATCAGAAAAAGTTTTGAAAATAATGAAACATTTTGAAAAGTAACTTTAATTCTCTTTTAAAAAAATGTTAATCAATCTAAACCATCTCAATGTTCTATCACAAATGTATTTCGCCATAATGTATTGCTTCTACTCCAACGTGTTTAATATTCGTGTTTATTTCAAAATAATAAAAAAATATTTGAAACATCTGCTAAGCAATGAGACTTGAATAATCTCACTTAAAAAAATATCTCTGGTAATAAATTGAAAATTTTTTCTCTAACTAGTTCGTTGCTAAGCTACCATAAGAGACAACAACGAAAATTATCATATTATCTTCTGGGTTGCACAGCAAAGAAGAGGAATTTTATACAATTGAGCTTAAATTTCGTGCAGTTAGATCGCGAAACGATTAAAACGTTTTGCGCATGTGTCTTGTGCGTACACATTAACGTCCATTGAGCAGCTAAAATGAAAATTATAATATTTATTCCTGTTTCATAAAACTTCTGACATCAGCATGCCATCAACATTCTCAATGTGTTATTCCATAAGCCTATAAAACACGCAATTTTTTTCTAAAAGTAGAAGACCGAATTACTTGAATCTGTTTGAATAAAACACATTTTCAGTACAACATGTAGCTTGATTTAAAATCTAAATATCTATAATGTGAGACGTATTTTCTAGGTGACATAGAAATTAAATAGGTAACATGCAGGTAAACTAGGTAATGTGTAAATTACCTGCAAAATTCGCAAATTAACTATTTGAAGTGAACCAATTTTTAGCACTTCAACTATTTTCTGCATAGAGATAGTTTAAATCCTTATCAATGCTCACAAATTATAAATACTTACCGAAATACATAGCTGTATTTTTCTTCTTGACATTATCGTCTAAATACGGCGTACCAATTGTGTAGAAAGCGTTGACGGCAAAGCCTTTCATAAAAGTTCCAATAAAGAAAATCGTCACAGCCGTTAACGTTGGAAACTTATCACAAAAGTAATCCTTCTCTGCCGAATCACACAGCTCGAAATCTGTCCTATTTTTGTAATGGTCCAACTTGGACACCTCCCGTATGGCGCCGTACAAGAAATACGGAGAAGCCATCACCAAAGTACTGAGGAAACCTATCATCAACGCTAAGGCGATGAACCTCGGCCTGTGAGACTTACCTCCAAAGTAACCGATTAGAAATCCAAAGCATATTGGACTTATTTCTTCACCTATCATAATAATACCCGTCACTTTGCTCTCAAACAAATAACGTTTTTCCAAAGTCGATATACAGCCAATGAAATACGTAAAAGTCGCACCGTTCAAAAGTCCCAAAAATCCGTTGTTGACCAGAAATGCTTTGGGTGTGTTGAATTTTTGAAGCCACGATGGATGAAAGTTCCCGATTCCACAAGTGGTATCCTCTTTTTCATTCTGTTCTTCCTCTGCTTCGACCTTTTTTAAACTGAGTTCTAAAGATCCTCTCCGGTCTACGTTTACAGACATTTTAAGTACATTAATTCGGTTATTTCATGATCTGTAAATTGACAAATGCCGCAATTTTATGGCATTGAATATCACGAATACACCCGGTCTGTAACTGCACTAGTACTTCTATTTTCTGATTAGCAAAGGCTCTGAAACTTCTCCTTCTCATCTTCTGGTCTACAAATGCAGCTATTTCTCGATTTACTAGATTGCTAATATGAAACAGCGAAAAGATAAGTGCTGCCCAATTTCCATTTACACCATTTGATACCTTATCCAAAAAAAAGTTCACAAGCACAAATAATTAAATCTATCTCAAAATCTCAAAACACCATTACTTAAAGAAGTCCTTCCTAAATAATATCATTCAGAGAAAACGTAACTGAAAACATAATTCATACACACAGTTTGCGTTCTAAAAATATTTTTGACGATTACATTATTATTTTGTGGCATAACACAAAGATAATTTATTTTTCTCGTGAGGGCAAGAATAACGAGAAAAAATATCAATGAATCCAACTGAGTGCTGTTTCCGTTTTTGTTCAATCCCCATGTTTAAATCGTTATCGCTTTCAGGAGCAAATACTGATGTTTGCGTCATTTTCTTCTTTTTTTAAATTTGTTTCTTTTCATATTTCGTCGCATAGCTGTGATAACTCTGTTTCGATGTGATAAAGCAAACCGATGAGTTTTCCTGTTCATAAGTTTGACTTTCCATGCGAACAGAAATTCTCTTAACACTCAAAAAGCCAGTTTTATAAGACGATATTATTTATCTTACACTTCACGTCGAGAGAAATGCAAAGTTCATTCGTGTGTTTAGATTATCTGCTCTAATACTGTTTTGAAGAAAATCAAATTTTTTAGTACCATTGCTAATTTTATAGCATAATGTAAGATAATTTATTCTTAAAATGGGAACTGTGTTCTTCTAGAAATTTCGTTTCTAAGCCAGTAAATTGAAAGAAAGAAAAGATTCGATCAGCCTTGGTTCTCTTTATATTTTTTTTCCTATTAAAATATTAAAATTTTATTTCTTTACAAACTAAATCAGAACTCATCATTCTCGACTGATCAGTGTGAATCAATGCTTTTCTTCATGAAAAGGTTTTTTACCATTGCTTCAAATGCATTATTTCATCCATTTTTAATGCTTAGTTTTATGCCTCTGAAAATATACGATATAGTAATATACGATAGAGTAAAATACCCTTATAAGATATAGTAAAAATCCTACCATAACTTTTATTTTTAAAGAATTAAATTTAGAGTTAAAAGTGTGAGAAATAACAATTTTATACAAAAATACATACAGGATGGTCCTAAAATATATGTCAAAAATGCAAAGGTAGGTAGAGGGTCATAATAAGCATATTTCGGATAGGAATGTGTGTGCGGTAATGACACATTAAAGCACTAGCTTGTAAAGCAGTATGAATGAGAGGAAACTGAAGAGACAAGTAAAGACAAAAGAAAATAAAAATTTATCAACAGTTTACAAGAGGTGCTCGAAAGAGCAGCCACCAACATCGATACAAAATTCACAACCACGGCGCATGGATCGGCGTACATTGGAAAAGATGTTAGGCATGTCGAGCACATGTGAAGCAGCAACAGACAAGCGGGCAACAAGATCTTCTTGATGGGACTCTCGCACACTAGGCTTTTAATATGACCCCAAAAGAAAAAATCCAAACAGGTTAAATCAGGAGAACGTGGTGGCCAGGGAACTGGACCACCCCGTCCTATCCAATGCTGGCCGTAGACAGCGTCCAGGTGATTTCTGACGCTCCCTGTACATCCTCTGAGCAGCTAATTCGTTTCCTTGTGCAGCCCAATACATGAAATGCACGTCAGCAAGCTCCACATTGGTGAACCGATGCATGCTGTTTGAGATCCGTGCAGGAATCCAGCTAGCAAGCGCTTTTATACGCCGCAGTCATCAGCGCTCCCTACCGGCTCAAGGCGGCANTACAATAATCGATAAAATAATGTAAACAAAAAATGATACATTAATCAATGAGACCAAATGCAACCGTTTATTTTTGTTTGTTAAAAAGGTTAAAAGTCGATGTTCGTATTTTATTGATTTCATTTGGATTTTGAAATGATTAAAATCTCATTCATTTTGTTAAAGTATCCGTTACCTGTTTCATTTAATTTCTTTAAAGTTTAAGCTTTATAGAAATAAATATATTTAATTATTGTTTCAAAATTCTAGTTTTACATGAAGTCATTCGAATTACAAAATGATACAAATTAATAAAAACAAGCATCAAGACTAACGAAATTAACAAATCACGTTTGAGATTCTTAGAAGTTATGGAAAAATTAGCTCATTAAACTTAGCTACTAAGAGGAGTAGCTACTAAGTCAAGTCTCTTAAAACAGGCACCTATGTGAAAAAAGAATTTTTGTTTGTTTTTACCACTGTAGGTTTAAATAATAATCGTGCATTAATTTTAGATCCAGATATAAAGGAACTAAACTATTTATACTTTACCTTAGAAGAACTGTCTTATTTTTGTAGAATAAATTCTAATAATAAAATTCTTTTGCTATCCCTTTTTACTCCTTTGAAAAAAAAAGTAACCGTCTTTGCTGAAATAAATACATGAAATAAACACAAAAAATTTAAGCACACCAAAAAAACGTGGATTAAAACCATCAGCACAAATTCGTCACTTTTGATAATGATTCCATACATGTATTAATATCTGAAACCGCAAAGCACTTCGCATATATTCTAATTTAATCTATGAATCTGTAAGATAAACAATAGAATATGCTAATTTCATGAAGTTGGATTCTTTAAAAAAACAATAGATATAAATTGTAACTATAAAACTGTTACGAAAAAACCATATATCAATACAGGGTGGTCCTAAAATATATGTCAAAAATGTAAAGGTAGGTAGAGGGGATATAAATAAGCATATTTCGGATAGGAATGTGTGTGCGGTAATGGCACATTAAAGCACTAGCTTGTAAAGCTGTATGAATCAGAGGAAACTGAAAAGACAAGTAAAGACAAAAGAAAATAAAAATTTATCTACAGTTTACAAGAGGTGCTCGAAAGAGCAGCCACCAACATCGATACAAGATTCACAGCCACGGCGCATGGATCGGCGTACATTAGAAAAGAAGTTAGGCATGTCGAGCACACGTAAAGCAGCAACAGATAAGCGGGCAACAAGATCTTCTTGATGGGACTTTCGTACACCAGGCTTTTAATATGACCCCAAAAGAAAAAATCCGAGCAGGTTAAATCAGGAGAGCGTGGTGGCCAGGGAACTGGACCATCCCATCCTATCCAATGCTGGCCGTAGACAGCTTCCAGGTGATTTCTGACGCTCCCTGTACATCCTCTGAGCAGCTAATTCATTTCCTTGTGCAGCCCCATACATGAAATGCACGTCGGCATGCTCCACATTGGTGAAACGATGCATGCTGTTTGAGGTCCGTGCGGTAATCCAGCTAGCAAGCGCTTTTATACGTCGCAGTCATCAGCGATCCCTACCGGCTCAAGGCGGCATTACCGCACACACAATCCTATACGAAATATGTTTATTTAAGTCCCCTCTACCTACCTTTACATTTTTGACATATATTTTAGGACCACCCTGTAAAATTCTGGTATAGGCATAAAATTTATAATATAGATATGAAACTATGGCAAAAGTAATAATATTTGTAGTTATTTGGTTGCCGGGTATATTTTTAAAAAAAAACAATTATCGGGGAGTTTTCTCTAATAAAACCCAAATTTCAATGAGGAACAGATGTAAAAAGGTTTCTTTAATAAAATAAAATCCCCACTATTTTTGAAAAAAAATATTTAAAAAAAATTATTTTAAAAAAGAACAATAAACGACTGAAAAAACAGTTTTGTCTGGGTGTTTTCCAACCCTAAAATGAAACTCATTTTGAAACAAAGAATTTACAGAGAGTTTTGAATTTACTTGGCCAAATTTGCTTAGCTAAGAATGAGTTTTAAAATTTTGGGTATCTAGATATTTTGCTAGAATAAGATTTTTTATTATTAATCCTTTCAAAATTATATATTTATTTCATTCAAACTTATCTTTATATAAAAAAATATTAGTTAAGCCTTTTTTAAATTAAAATATTTCTTTTTAGTCTTTCAGCACTTTTAATAAATTTAACTACAATGCATTGATTTTTTCTTTGTTAATTTCATCATCCACGTATATTAATGCTTGAAAAAAAGGGAATACGAAGTATATAGAATTAAGACAAAATTTATTCTAATTTATTCGCTTGACCTCCGTATGTGAGTTTAGCCATAGCCCCCGGATTGGCGATGTAATAATTTGTTTACGCTTCATATGGTCTTTCGATTGTATGATTGATTTACTTTCGATTTGATTTTTCAATAAAAAAATCTCATTTATACTTTTGATATTAATTTAAATTTTTTTTTATTTTGATAACCAATTAATCACAAATCGAAACATTTAATTCCCCTTATGTCAGCCAGTGCCCAACTACGCAAGCGCTAACATAAAAGTGATCACGATTGAGTGATTAGCTACAATAATTATTAAACGTATTTTCTTAATTAAAAAAATAAATGCCATTCCAGTTTAAACACATAACATACTTAGAAAATTGTATAAAAAACAAGAATATAAAAATTTTACTTTTCATACTAAGAAAATGCATATTCAAGAAATATTATGACAATTTCTTAATGATATACAACTATTATAATGATATACGGCTTCTTTATTTAATGATATACAGCTTCTCTTAATAATATAGAGCTTTGTATCTAAATCTTTTTACCTGAAATTTCTAATAAGCTCCAAAAATTTAATTCGAAATATTGTTGCATGTTGAAATATCTTCTTGAGATGAAGTACAGTGCTGAAAAAGAAAACAACCAGCTAATTAGCTTTTGTTCTAATAACCGCATTTATGCAAACTACTTTATAATATTAAGGGTTCAAAAAAGGGACTTCAGATATGCTAATTCATTAGTGCAGACGACATTTTAAGCTAAAGAATCAGACGAAAAACACACTTTCGCTGAATAAATACATTTTTTTTGATGAAATTGAAAAGTGCAGTATTTTTTAAATTTCCTTTCTGTGGAATTTTTTGATTAAAAATTCAAATTTAGTCATTTAAAATTACTTTGGTTAAAATTGTCTGAAACTTCTTAACACAGTTCAAAAATTTTCCACAGTTGTTTTATATAATACTTATTAAAAATTCTTTTGTAGATCTTTTGACAAACGAATTTTATTACTCCTTTGATTTAGCGAAATACGCAAGAAGTGAAATTAATATTAAGTGACCCCAAATTGTGATCACTCTCCTGACTAAAATATTGGATCTCTGTTTTTCAGAAAAATTACATTCTTGTGTCAATTAGTTAGCTTATCATAATCAAATTAGTCAGGCCCTCGAACAAATAAGATTGAGTCCTAGTACGTTAAAATTAGATCATATAAGATCAAATGTAATTCCGTTTTTGCACTCTGTACTTGCCTTTATCATTCATATTTAATTAGTACAAATTGAGAATATTTAATGAAAAATAACAGACAGAGCAACAGTCTTTGTTGGCCCAACTTGTAATTTGAAATTTTGTTGGACGAAAGAGCTGTATTGTTTAAAACTTTAATACTTTAATAATTCCACGTTTGTAAGCTGCTATTTAAATAATTAGAGATAAACTGCCCGAAACGTACATGTTTGCTTGAAAAGTTTGAAA